TATCCAAAACGATTTTTGCTACTTTGTGTGTCTATTTTTAGTTGACCAGGGCGTAAGTCCGTTTGAAAAAAGAGGTCTCATTAACAGCTTTATGTTGAGTCAACACACCTCGCTGCCGGATGCCTTGCTCTGAAATTGTTATTTATGTGACTGGGAAGTGGGCTAAACCACCAGTGGGCCAAAAGTCCTCTTTGCCGTCTCAATTCAGACTTACTGACATGACCCCTGCGATGGCATTTGTCCGAGACTTAGGTGGAACACACTCCCTTGGCACTTTTCGCTCAAAATCACGAGGGCCTCCCGTTAATTTTAGTCAACGACCGCAGATATCTGCACTGAGGAGTGCGCCGGCCTCAATCGATTTCCTCTTCATTCTCCCTTTACGGACTGGGCCCCTCATCAGGTGTTCAGCGAAAAAAAGGAACTGCAGCTTTCAAGGTACGGCAGTTTCGGTGATTATTGTCCACGTAGTCACTTCACGCCTCACTAATTCCCTAGTGTCAGTGTCTAACTCAGAGTTATGTAGATATCCGTCCTGTTCTATCAATGACGGTTGGTCAACAGACGGGAGCTAGGTTCGAGGGAAGAGTTTTATGCACATTGATGAGGTCTGGAACGGGAGTCTATCCTTGAAGGCAAGGATAGACTCCCGTTCCAGACCTCATCAATGTGCATCTACAACTTTACATGCTCCTGTAGGGCAAGTTACATTGGAAGAGTTTTACGTGAAAAAGTGGACTGAAGGCTACTGCAGAAAAGTCAGTGCTTTTAGTCTACAAGATCGAACCTTCCAGCTCCCGAAGCAGCTTTCGCTACAATCGTGGGTTTTAGGCGAAGTCGGGTCTTGAAAAGTAAAGTTCCATAGACTTATTTCACAGGCGTACTTTGTAAAGTATTCGTCAAATTACGGAAGTGAGGAGATGAGAGATAATACCTTTTAGAAAATGCACACTCATTTGTCTCAGGCATTCACTGAAGCCTGGAGCTTAGTTACTTTTTCCTCCAGGACTGAAGACTGTAATCCTCATAGAAGTTTGCCATTGCCAGGGTTTATTTAATATACGGAGAGACTAGTGTGCTTATCGTAACCTTAGTGAATACTTTTTTTAATTAAAGTAGGTGAAGTGGACACAAGGAGAAAATTAATGAAATCGATGGAACCCTCTGGATTACATTTTGGCAGGTTGGAAGCCTTTGGAGGTTTTTTTATTGGGATGCTACGAAACAGTTTTATGGCAGAGGCGGTCTAGAACCTCTTCTCTTTTATCTGAGTCTTGTGACGGCCACAGTACTTGCTTGTACTCCTGTCACGGTACACTCCCGTCGGCCTTACTTTCTTTTCGATGAGAGAGAGGAAGGGAGAGTGCCTGGTTATTTTAGTGCCGGAATAATTTATTGGTGTTTCGCCTGCCCTGTTCTGACGCAACGGTGCGCCAACTGCGATCCGTCTTCCTGTTCTAGACTGGACTTTTGGTATCGCGAGGCAGGGTAGCCAAATTTATTACAGCATTCCTGCACCTAGAGAAGTGGCCAACACCTTTTCGGCACAGGCGACTAATACTTATGTCCCGAGTGATCTTCCTTGCCGAGGTTCTCCCGGTTGAAGCCTAATAGGCGAATCGACTACTATTCGTGCAGGATTTCTCCGTTACCAGGAGGATCGGACGGCGCGGCTTAGCGATTGAACACATCGTTTTGCTGTTCCTTCGGTCTGGTACTGTGTCAGGACTGTCTGTTACATTGAGGCTGCCCAGTTTGGCGCGGTTCGCACCTTTTTTTGTCAAATCTTATGTCCGACTACCCCGTACTTGAAATCTTCGATGTTAACGTTTTCTAGTCCAACTTCGCATAGATTTTACTTACCGAAAGTCACCAGCACCGTTCCTTCTTATGAAAACTGAAATATGCTTGCTGTTTCGCCTTCGTCAGTGCTCACGTGAGAGAAGTCTGTAGTGTCCAAGGGAGCGACCATATATAATAGAGAGCTGTAGTATAACGATTTATGGGAGGACTTATCGCAGGTGGTTAAGTAAGCTAAACCCTAGCGACTGCGATCTTTAGCCTGTTTTTAGGATAAGAGAAGTCATAGGAGGCCAGACTGGTAGGAGCAGTTTATTATGTACAGAAGGAAGTGGAGAATAGGCAGACGAGCGAGCAACTGTCGGTCACAGCGCCGCATCTGAAGTGACGAGAACGTAGGGGATTGCCAGAAGTTCTGGGCATGTTTCGTTCTTGCAGTCAGTCCGTGCTCGATTTATCATGGGGCTAATGCCAAGATTCGCGTCAGTGGCTCGACCTTGAGACAGGCGTAGGGCGGGGGGCATGTGCTCTCCTTGGCAGTCGTCAGCGCTCCTGCCTGAGCGTCCACATGGAGTGAGTCACTACAAACTTATTAACCTTAATCGCCGAATTGCTGAATCTTCATTGCTGGTAACAGTGATCTATTTTGGCCTTGCAGGAGCGTAGGGCATGCC